GTGGGGCCGTGGGGTGGCCAAGCCATTTTCTCTTCAACCCCTTTCCTGCCCCACAGGTGTATCCATCCAACTCAGGTGATGACTACAGCAGGGATCCAGCTGGATATACTCCCTCAAAACCTCCCAGCACTGTGTATCCCGGAGCCTTTTATATGGCAGGTGAGTTATCAACAACGCCGGCGTCCTGCAAGCCGGCAAGAGCAGGGGCTGCCTGGCCCATTACGGACAACGGGGGGAATTGCCCAGCACCTGAGCAGGAGGGAGCTCAGGGCAGGAGCGTGTGAGACACGAAGCAGCCCTGGAACGGCTCAGATTTGCTCAGCGGGTGATGCTCGGCGTAGGCAGGACGCGCTGGGGGCAGATGCAGCCCCTCAGCCCGGGCTGATTGGCCCCCGTGTGGGCTGTGGGACGCACGCCGGCATCCCTGCCCTGCTCAGCTCTGGTTTTCCTTCCAGACGGCCTCCATAACTCGCCAGACCTGTGGAGTTCACCGGGTGCCATGAGCCAGTCGAGTTACGGTGCCATGCTGGGCAGCTCCTCCTCCCCGCTCCCCCAGTCCAGCGGCTTCAACAGTTTACATCAGCACGAACGCATGGTAACGCGTCCCCACGCTGCCCTGCGGGTGGGCTGGGGGGCTCCAGAGCTCCCAGCTTCGTTCAGGAGAGGTTAACGGCGGCCTCCCCTCCGTGTCTGGCTTTTCCTCTGCCTCCACGCCGTACGGGGTCTCCAGTCACACGCCCCCCATCAGTGGGACGGACAGCATCATGGGTACGTACGGCCCCCGGTGGTCCCCAGCACGACTCCCCTCGCTCCACTGCCATGCAGAGGCTTAACTGGAAAATCAAAGTCTTCTGCAAACCTCTGATGCCCGAGGCCGTGATAGCTGGGTCCGATGCACCCAGACGCTTTCTATCCCTTGCGCGTCGCCCGTGCACGCCGTTACTGCGCGAGGAGGCGGCGCAGCGAGGTTATTGCTGCGGGATACCTGGGCTGTAGCAGGGGGACGGGGCGCTGGCTTGGGGGTTTGCACCTCGCTTGGTGGATCTGGGAGGAGACCAGGATCTGAGATGTTATCTCTTGGAGGTGCCGTGGCTTAAATGAGTTGCGGGAAGGATTTGCATCTGCGTTGCGGGAAGGCGGGGGTATGTGTGAAGCTCTTCATCTAAATCCAGAATGAGAATGTTTGTGCGGTATTTTTATACCATGTTAAACCTCCGAGTGCTTTAATTTCTAACCCTGCTGAA